AAGCAAATAAAAAAGGTGAGAGGGGGCAGGCCCCCTGATACTACGTGTAAATAACATATAGTCAATAATTAACATACAGTCAAACAAGATTAAATCGAAGTTCTAATACCTTTTATATACAGAATGAAAAAAAAACCCTGAGATATAAAGTTTACCAAAGGACGAATGAAGATTGGACCACGTTCAAAATGTCTGAAACCCAGATAAAGATGTTTTCATTCTAAAGTTTCCTCATACTTCACGTTTGCATATGGAACGCCATAGCTGCCTTATGTGGTTATTTCATGAGTAGATGGTGCTTTATTATGTTATGCTGTGGTTATTTCATATGAAGATGGTGCTTTATTATGTTATGCTGTGGTTATTCCATGTGAAGATGGTGCTTTATTATGTTATTCTGTGGATATTTCATGTGAAGAAGTGCTTTATTATGTTATGCTGTGGTTATTTCATGTGAAGATGGTGCTTTATTATGTTATGCTGTGGTTATTTCATGTGAAGGTGGTTTTTCATGTGATGGTGGTTTTTCATGTGAAGGTGGTTTTTTATGTGAAGGTGGTTTTTCATGTGAAGGTGGTTTTTTATATGAAGGTGGTTTTTCATGTGATGGTGAATTTTCATGTGAAGGTGGTTTTTCATGTGAAGACGGTTTTTCAAGTGTTGGTGGGTTTTTTTTTATGTGATGGTGGTTTTTCATATTTAATGTGATGGTGGTCACTCGGAACTCCTAATATTTTTGAAGACTGAGTTTAACACTGAGTTAAACTGTTATTATCTTGAAATTTTGAAAGTGAAACAAATAGTCAATGTAATTAAAATCATTTTAATACACCATTGCTAGTTCCTCTTTTTTCCATCTAGGCACTTGGGTTCAAAATGGTGTATTTTGTGTATTATGAATTTTTTGTAGGTGTGTCTGAATACACTCAAAAACATAAAAATAAAAAAAAAATCACTGAAATTACCACGTTTAAAAAGTGTCATATTAGTCTATATAGAAAGAGTTTAGGTACAACAGTTGCCATCTTCGGAAAATCTAGGGAAGTCAGAAACCGCGCCAAACTTGTTCGCGTTATTCCGGGATGCCTCTACATTTTACTTGGTTAAAAATCGTCACTTCCATTGCTTTCACTTTCAGTTCTAGGTATCAGGACGTTTTTGTTAACTGCATACGGCAAGTTCGAACTGGCAGACGATTGAAAGGCGTTATTCAATCATTTTTAAATGTAGATTTCATCCGAATTCCTGCCCAAAAGTGGTAGGAAAAGTGTAGATATTGATAAATTAAAATCAAGTATGAACTGAGCCGGGCACGACGTAAAATCGAAGATTGCAACTGTCGTACCTCCACTCTTTTTTATATAAAGTAATATGACATTTTTAAAACTTGCTAATTTCAGTGATTTTTTAATTCTTAGGTTATCGAGTTAATGCAGACAAAGCTAGGAAAAAACATAATACACAAAATACACCATCCTGAAACCAAGCGTCTATGGAAAAAAGAGGAACTAGCAATGGCGTATTAAAATGATTTAAATTATATTGACTATTTGTTTCACTTTCAAAATTTCAAGATAATAGCAGTTAAACTCAGTGTTAAACTCAGTCTTCAAAAGTATTTAGAGTTCCGAGTGACCACCATAACATTAAATATAAAAAAAAAACCCACCTTAACATAAAAAAACACCATCACATGAAAAACCACCTTCACATGAAAATTCACCATCACATAAAAAACCACCTTCACATGAAAAACCACCATCACATGAAAAACCACCTTCACATGAAAAAACCACCTTCACATAAAAAACCACCATCACATGAAAAACCATCTTCACATGAAATAACCACAGCATAACATAATAAAGCACCATCTTCACATGAAATAACCACAGCATAACATAATAAAGCACCATCTTCTCATGAAATAACCACATAAGGCAGCTATGGCGTTCCATATTTGCAATTAAAGAGCCAAGTGACGTATCTCCAAATATGACAGAAGTGAACAGTCAACCGTACCATGGCTCTTCTAACAATGAAATGAACACATCTATAATAAACAATACTCTCACCCAATTTACATGAGTTAGAAGACATATATAAATGTTAAATAAATGTTTATTGTTGTTGTTGTTTTTTGTTTTTGTTTTTTTCTTCATTTTATGTATGTTATTGTTTGTTGTATTCATGACTATATGCCAATGTATGATGGTGTTGTCAAATAAATGAATTCAATTGAATTGTTAAATACATGTATAAGCAATACAATGTCTTTCCTTGTTATATTATACGGGTATATCGGTTGCAACAGGGACATAGACTCAAGCGAGATTCACTCTTTCCAATTTCTATAATATACAGTTTAAATATTTTTATTTACAAATTAAAACGGGATTGTCTGGCTTTTCTCCTACAATGTATATCTTTCTCATGAAACGAACCAAGGTGCTCCAAAGGACACTATTAAAGTAACCCAGTAGCCGTGTAATCAAAGGTGTGATAAAAGCGGCCGTACAACCCCCCCCCCCCCAAATTCCTGTCGTTTAAATTTATACATGACTATATTTACTATGTTTATGCACATTTTGGACAAAATCGTTCGAATCATATTTGAACAGCAAGTTCCAAAAGTTAACACCCCCCCCCTTTTTTGGCCTTTCACGAAGAGGAGAAATTTTCAACCAACTAACAATAAAATCCCTGTTTTTCAAAAAAGTCAGGTAAGCCTAGTCACAGGGGCCATTAACACACTATGTTTGATTTATGTAATTACTATATACATGTATATACAAAAAGGTTTCTATTTATAAATATAGTGATCACGTAAAATTACGGTAAGCAGAATATGTTACTGGCCCCTTTGCGTCGAGTTGTCAATTTTCATCGACTCATTCATTTAATCTTTAAATACACAGCGCGATATGTACAATTTCACTGTAAATTTGTCATCTATTTTAAAATTATTCAGGACAGATGTGCAGTGGTTTGATTCGAGAAAATTGGCAGAAGGTCGGAACAGTTTTCAGCAATGAGATATTGTATTCAGATAATTTTCAGTACACAATTCAGTTTCAGTTTCGATATTTACTTTGTCGTATATGTGATAGTTTTCAGTTCTTGTGTTCATCGGAACACAGGAGTCGGTAATTTTAGCCATAAAGTGAAAAAGGCACACATCAGGCTTGTAGTATATTTTTTTGTTAATGGAAATTGGAAGATCAAAAAAAAAAAAAAAAGAAAAGAAAAAACAACAAACAAACAAACAAACAAAAACCAAAGGGGGTCTTTATTAATACATTACCCCATTCAGGGGAAAAAAGGGGCGCAGCCAGAGAAAAAAATTTCAACTTACCAGCCAGAGAAAAAAAAATTCAACTTACCTGAAAAAAACTTTAAAAAATAAGAAGCAAAAATTGTCAAAACTCGAAAATCCTAAGGGGGGTTGGGGTTGGGTTCAAGTTCTTTCAGTATTAAATTTTATTCATGCACTACTACATTACCCTTATTTGAATATGCTGCAACAAAAAGTTGGGGGGGGGGGGGGCAGGCCTTTCAATGAACATTTTCAAAAGTAAAAAGTTATGTTTGGAAAAAAGTGGGGGGGGGGGGGCCCTCCCCACTCAGATGCTACGCGCCTGCCATTACTCAGCAGTTTTAGATCGAGTTGTTCCTCTTTGATAAGTGAACTTCCGAAAACGGGTTTGATATTTCAAAAATGCTTTTATAAGAGAAAAACAATATCTAATTGCATAATTATAAGACAAACCGGATAGAGTGAAAAAGCAATGTACCATAAGATAATAAAAATCTTATTTTTATGACGGGGAGGGGATTAATGCAAATAAAAAAATTATCAAAGATAGGATTTGATATACATAAAAAAAACCATAATCAAAACCCCTAATTCCATTTTTCTTTTAATCACATTGTACCTCTCGTCATTTTGACGCTTTTAAATTCTGAGGTCACATGAAACGTTTGAAATCGCAAGAGTTGTCTCACCCACTCTGTTGTACATATTTAATTCAATCACAACCTGCAAAATTCAACGTATGAAATGAATATTTTTTTTTAATGATACTATCTATACCGTAAAGAAGGACTGCATCCAAGCATGAAACATCAACCTGACAAAGCCGGCTATCGTTTCCTTGCATCTTTTTTTTAACACATCATATCTTTATAGTAAAAAGGAACAAGGAAAACACAGGCACACACATTGGGATCAAAATATTTCCACTTTTCCTGGTATTTTGTACTTGTTGTAGACCAGCAGGTGAATTATCCTCTCATTTTCCCTCCTAGTATTTCATTTACTTTCTTGATAGTTAAACTCATTGTTATTGAAACTATCATGTTTAAAAGTAAATTTGATTTCAAAAATGAAATCAACAGTATACCCCTTTCAAAATAGAAGAAAAATCTCACACATGGATGAATTTTGAACAAAAAAAATAGATGTACAGAAAGTGTACAGTAAGTTATGTTTAAAACACTTCTTAAAAATTATATTCAAAAAGGGTAATTGACACACTTACATTGCTGTTTTGTTAACAATTTTGAATTTCTATTTTTATTTGAAAAAAAAAAAAAGCTTCGGTTTAATGACTTGAATGTACTTGAAAATTCTTAATCAATGACAATGGCATTCTTCAAATATCCTGTATGTCCTTACATCAAACACCTGTGTTTGTAAAACTTTGGCACAAGCTCTGTTATTGCATGCCCAAAATTCATGTTTTTTATAAATTTCAGATAAAAGAAGTTTCTTAACATGTTTTTATAATATAATGGTCTGAAATACACTTGCAATATGTACGTAATAATTGGTCATGAAATTCTACCAAAAATTTTGAAGACAATAAACTTCATATTGTGTCCATGCCCTTTTAATAAAATTTTCCAAACTTATTTGCTAAGTTGGTACAATAATTTTTGCCTGTTTAATATCCTACGAAATATGAGCATGTCAAACATGTCAAATAAGAACAACAAAATTCACCTTTTGAAAACTTTATTGTATATTTTTTCTGAGAAAACTTGAAAGGCTGGAAGTAGCAGTCTAAGATTTCTTTTGTACCATTCTCTGGAAGTAAATTAAAGAATAGATATTAATCCTGAACAAACTTTATTTCTAATGCATGTACTGACATTTGTTATTGTTAGATTTAAAGCTAATTTAATCTTTAGGACTTCATTGGATTTGTGAATAAATATACATGTATTTCTATCACATAATAAAGAAAAATGCTATATGTCCTGTTCACAGATTTGTTTGTAGATTTTTCTGAGATCAATCCCTGTGTGTAAGCTTCACCTTTTTCACAAAGTCGTCATTTTTGTAAATACATCCTAACTACTTAATTTTATTTGAATTTAACCAATAAAATTGCATCTCTGATAAACAATCCCTAATTCTTGTAAAGGTACCTGTTATAGCTAGCATGAAGTACAAAATTTTTGTCCAGGAAGTCTTTGTAGAATTCAGAGAGTTCCTCAGCTGATAACTTAGACTCAGGGCTGTCTAATTCTCCACGTTTTTCTTGTAATTTCCTCTTCACAAACTCTTCTTTTTCCTTATAAAGTAAATTAATAAAAGGAAAAAAGTCATAAGTGTGACCCTTACAAGAATTAAGTATGACTCTATTCATGATTACAAATGCACTGCTGAAGCAAATTAAATTATACAAGATGTGTTTGTGAAACACTGATGCCCCCGTATGGCAGCTTATGGCGAAGGTTAAAGTATCTCAAATGCAAGTCAAACTCCAGGCCAAAAGATAAAAAATTCTGGTACCCAAAGAAAGGTTTTGTCTTGAGGAATATACCTGTGAAATTTGAAAGCCCTAGCTGCAACTGTTCAAAAGTTATGGCAAAGGTTAAAGTTTTTTAAAAGTAAGTAAAACGTCAAGGTCAAGGTCAAAGTTGTTGGTATCCAAAGGAAGGTCTTGTCACAAGGATTACATATGCGAAGTATGAAAGCCCTAGCACCAACCATTCAAAACTTACGACCAAGGTTAAAGTTTTTCGAAAGTAGGTCAAACTCCTATATCAAGGTCAAAGGGTCAAAGTGGTTGGTATCCAAAGGAAGGTGATGTCACAAGGATTACATATGTGAAGTATGAAAGCCCTAGAATCAACAATTTAAAAGTTATGGCCAAGGTTAAAGTTTTTCAAAAGTAGGTCAAACTGCTAGGTCAAGGTCAAAAGGTCAAAGTGGTTGGTATCCAAAAAAAGGTCTTGTCACAAGGATTATATATATTTAGTATAAAAGTCCTAGTTCCAACCATTCAAAAGTAATCACCAAGGTTAAAGTTTTTCAAAAGTAGGTCAAACTCCTAGGTCAAGGTCAAAGGGTCAAAGAGGTTGAAATCCAGTGGAAGGTCTTGTCACAAGGAATACACATGTGAAGTTTGAAACCCCAAGCACCAACTGTTCAAAAGTTATGGCCAAGGTTAAAGTTTTTCAAAAGAAGGTCAAACTCCAAGGTCAAGGTCAAAAGGTCAAAGTCGTTTGTATCCAAAGGAAGGCCTTGTCACAAAAAATACACAAGTGAAGTTTGAAACCCCAAGCACCAACTGTTCAGAAGTTATGGTCAAGGTCAAAGTCTCATAAAATTTTGCAAAAGTGGGTCAAACTCCAAGGTCAAGTTCAAAAGGTCAATAATGATGGTATCCAAAGAAAGGTCTTGTCACAAGGAATACACATGTGAAATATGAAAGTCATAGCTCCAACCAATCAAAAGTTATGGGCAAGGTTAAAGTTGACAACAGACAGACAGACAAACAGATAAACAGAAATACAGGACAAAAACAATATATCCCCAGGGTCTTTCGATCTGGGGGCATAAAAATAAGATATTCAAATGAAATTAACTAAAATTGTGACACAGTTTCTACAGCCAAACAAGATAGGTTTGTCCAACACTAATGCCTCAGTATGGAAGCTCGATGGCCAAGGTTAAAGTCTTTCAGATCTAGGTCAAACTCCAAGATCAAGGTCATTAAGTCAAAAATGTTGGGACCATAAGAAAGGTCTTGTGCCAAAGAATACACCAGTGAAATTAAATATGAAAGCCCTAGCACCAATCGTTCAAAAGTATTACAGCCAAGGTAAAAGTTTTTCAAAAGTAGGTCAAATTCCAATATCAAGGTCATGAGGTCAAAAATGTTGGTACCCAAAGAAAGGTCTTTTCACAAGAAACACACTTGTGTAATATGAAAGCCCTAGAACCAATCGTTCAAAAGTTAAGGTTAAAGTTTTTGGGAACAAACAGATTAAAAGACGGACAGACCAAAAACTAAATGCCCCAAATTCTCCGATAATGGGGGCATAAAAAAGTACAGTGTATATTTCTACTTCTGAAACTGTTTTCACCTCTTATCCCAGACTCAAAGGTGACTAAATATTTAGATGAACTCTTAAAACACCACATGTCTTTCTTTTTGTTCACTTGTTGAAAGTTACCTTGAAGAATTTTTCATTATGATTGGCCCAGAAACCTTGGTTCCAGTCATGTGTTTCTTTTCTAAGCAGCCTGTAGCGGCGCTGTAGGGGTGTTTCTTTATGTGGCACATGGAAAACAACTGGACGGAGGTTAGACTTTTTGTCAGGAGGACCAATCAAATCATGGCTTCTATTGGGAGGAGGGACATTGTGGATATGCAGTTCACTGTTTACCTTTAAAAAAAACCCTTATGATAACAGGCATATTCAGAATAATTTAGAAATAGAGAAAATAAATTCAGAAATAAAGGTTTTTCCACAATAAATATACAGAGCTTTATCGTCAGTTTACCTCATACTTGTCTATTGTTCAGAACGAAAGCATGACATTTGTATACAACTAAAAGAATCAATAAGAGTTATCTCTCTTCAAGTAGTGTTATAGTTACACTAATCATTTCTTTGAAAAATAAAATGTGTATAACATAATCTCTTTAAAAGGAACAATTGCCAGCATCTTTCATATTACTTCTGACAAGACATAATGAATACAATTATGCCTAAAAATGTGTGCAATTAACAGAAACAACCAGCAGGGTTATGATTGAAAAAAACCCTTTAAATTTCAGACACGGATTTGAATTTGAATCCAACCCTCAAAACAACATTATCTTGCACAAATTTAAACAAAGCAATGATTAGGCTGGCAAAGAACTGCATGCTTTTACTGAGTAAACCCAGAGCCTGAGACATAGTCATATACATTACAACTTTCATGTATGACTAGTAATCCCAAATATTTTGACATGCTTGCGCCATTTCTCAGTGATATTCCATGTATTTTTCACCGATAATCTCAAAATACCTGATTTTGCACGCTCCTAAATTGGATCAAATTAAGGGATTTATTGAGATCTGAGGCTAAAGAATTCACTAAACATAACCGTCGTGGTAGCTGCTGCAAGTTCATGAGTTATTATAGTAGTACAATTCAGCATTTTAGCACCAGCCTAAGCACCATCTCCATAGCGCATGCGCAAATTAAAGGCCTAAGTGGGTCGTGCGACATGCGCACTTCCTTCTTTCTGTTTTGAAATACATTCAAACGAACAGGTATTTTTTGTTAATTTGTTATATCAATGATAAAGCGGCTATTGTCGAGATAAAGTAACGAAAATGTTTGAGAATATAATCAAATACAAAACTTCTGTACTTTTCTTTGGAATTTGAAGGGAAAAAAATTGGCGTTAGCCTTTTTGTTACCGTTTCTATATAAGACCTACAATTTTGGGTAGCCGGGACCCGCCACTGGCACACCCCATAATTTACCAAAAATATAAAATCAGTCGTAAACTAGGAATAACTGGGGTTTTGACGAAATATTTAGACTTTGCATAAGCATTTTGCATGTATCACACTGAATTGTATGGGCCTGATATGTCTGTATACATAATAGGGGGATGTGTAATGTACACTACTCAAGAAATGTCTGTATTGTAGATTACAATCAGTTTGTCGTGGTATTAGGAAAAGAATGGCCAATGCAAGTAAGTTTATATTTTTTATCTATTCAACCTATATACTAGGACCATAGTGGCATACAAACCTAAAATTTTCATTAGGCCTAGCAGTAGCACTATACAAGCCTTTTTCTTGCAGTCACTGCTTATATTGTCCAAATAAAGGTAACCTTATAAACCAATTCTATATTTGTCAATGCAAAAGCACACATATCAATGACAGAGAGTTCCCACATCTAGGCTTAAAAGCATAAGGACATATATGGAAGTAATATTATTTATGCCATGGTATCATAGATTCTACTACACAAATGATCCAAACACTCATATATATACTTATTACACTAGCGCCACACATATACAGCATTTATAACACTAGTACCACATATTTACAGCCTTTATTACACTAACACCATGCATATACAGCCTTTATAACACTAGCACCACAAATATACAGACTATTACACTAGCACCACACATATACAGACTTTATTACACTAGCACCATGCATATACAGCCTTCATAACACTAGCAAAACACATATAAAACCTTTATAACACTAGCACCACACATGTACAACATTTATAATACTAGCACCACAAATACAACCTTTATAAACTAGCACCACAATATACAGCCTTTATTACACTAGCAAAACCCATATACAGCCTTTATAGCACTAGCACCACACATATACAGCCGTTATATCACTAGCACCACACATGCACAACCTTTAGAACACTAGCACCACACATGTACAACATTTATAAGACTAGCACCACACATATACATCCTTTATAACAATAGCATCACACATGTACAACCTTTATAACACTAGTACCACACATATACAGCCTTTATAACATGAGTACCACACATATACAGCCTTTATAACATCGGCACCACACATATCTAACCTCTATAACACTAGCACCACCTATATCTCCCCTCTATAACACTAACACCACACATATCTAACCTCCAAACCACTAGCACCATACATATACAACCTTCATAACACTAGCACCATACATATACAACCTTTATAACACTAGCACCACAAATACGCAGACTATTACACTAGCACCACACATATCTCACCTCTATTACACTAGCACCACACATATCTCACCTTCATAACACTAGCACCACACATATCTAACCTCTATAACACTTGTACCACACTATCTAACCTCTATAACACTAGCACCACACATATACAGCCTTTATAACACCAGCACCACACATATCTAACATCCATAACACTAGCAACACACATACACAGCTTTTATAACACTAGCACCACCTATATCTCCCCTTTATAACACTAGCACCACACATATCTAACTTCTATAACACTAGCTCCACACATATCTAACCTCTATAACACTTGCACCACACATATTTCTCCTATATTACACTAGCACAACTCTATCTAACCTCTATAACACTAGCACCATGCATATCTAAGCTCTATAACACTAGCACCACACATATACACTATAACACTAGTACCACACATACACAACCTTTATAACACTAGCACGATACATATACAGCCTCCATAACACTAGCACCACACATATACAGCCTTTATAACACTAGCACCACACATATCTAATCTCTGTAACACTAGCACCACACATATCTAACCTCTATAACACTAGCACCACACATATACAGCCTGTATAACACTAGCACCACTCATATACAGCCATTATAACACTAGCACCACACATATACAGCCTTTATAACACTAGCACCACACATATACAGCCTTTATAACACTAGCACCACACATATACAGGCTTAATTACACTAGCACCACACTTATCTAACCTCTGTAACACTAGCACCATACATATACAGCCTGTATAACACTAGCACCACACATATACAGCCTGTATAACACTAGCACCATACATATACAGCCTTTATTACACTAGCACCACACATATACAGGCTTTATTACACTAGCACCACACATATACAGCCTTTATAACACTAGCACCACACATATACAGGCTTTATTACACTAGCACCACACATATACAGGCTTTATTACACTAGCACCACACATATACAGCCTTTATTACACTAGCACCACACATATCTAACCTCTATAACACTAGCACCACACATATACAGCCTGTATAACACTAGCACCACTCATATACAGCCATTATAACACTAGCACCACACATATACAGCCTTTATAACACTAGCACCACACATATACAGCCTTTATAACACTAGCACCACACATATACAGGCTTTATTACACTAGCACCACACTTATCTAACCTCTGTAACACTAGCACCATACATATACAGCCTGTATAACACTAGCACCACACATATACAGCCTGTATAACACTAGCACCATACATATACAGCCTTTATTACACTAACACCACACATATACAGGCTTTATTACACTAGCACCACACATATACAGCCTTTATAACACTAGCACCACACATATACAGGCTTTATTACACTAGCACCACACATATACAGGCTTTATTACACTAGCACCACACATATACAGCCTTTATTACACTAGCACCACACATATCTAACCTCTATAACACTAGCACCACACATATACAGCCTGTATAACACTAGCACCACTCATATACAGCCTTTATAACACTAGCACCACACACATACAGCCTTTATAACACTAGCACCATAAATATACAGCCTCTATAACACTAGCACCATACATATATTCAGCCTCTATAACACTAGCACCACACATATACAGCCTTTATAACACTAGCACCACACATATACAGCCTTTATAACACTAGCACCACACATATACAGGCTTTATTACACTAGCACCACACATATACAGCCTTTATAACACTAGCACCATACATATACAGCCTGTATAACACTAGCACCATACATATACAGCCTGTATAACACTAGCACCATACATATACAGCCTCTATAACACTAGCACCACACATATCTCACCTCTATGACACTAGCACCATACATATACAGTCTTTATAACACTAGCAACATCCATATACAAACTCAGTTTAACACTAGCACAATGCATATACAGCCTTTGTAACATTATGCTTTGCTTTACCATTATGCTTTGTATGTATTTTGATAAAGAGGAGACCTTTATTATTCCCCGCTGGAACAAAAATGTTCAAGTTTAAAGCTTTTTCAATTTATTTGTTTATGCTTAGATAATGTAATGATTTCTATATACATGATATAATCAACAACAATTATTTGTGCACCCTTACACAGGTTATTGAATTATATAAATATATCTGTTTTTATTTTAATTAGGTTTAACCAAAGTAAATGAGCAGTACTGGGCTTCAGTTCAGGGCAAGGTAATGCCAGCATAGTTGTCATATACCATTCCTAACAAGTTTAAAAATTTTAATTGGCCTTTATCTTGTACATTATTTCATTATCTAACATAATTTACAAAGGAAATATAAATTATATAATCATAAAATTGTAGAATGTGAATTTTTTCATCACTGGGGGCATAGTGTTTTTTGATAAACTTACATCTAGAAATTTTTTATATCAAAATCACCATAAGTATCATAAAGATTAAAAAAAGAGTATCATAACTACTAACTACTGTTTTAGGTTAAAGATTGGATTCAAAAAACTGATGCCACTGTATTAGTATTATACATACCGCAGCCAACAAAGCGGAATCCCATCCCTACTTTAAAGTTTGAAGGTAGGTTGTTTTTTTTTTTCAAATTAATATATGTGTGTTTTCAAGAATTGTCATGGCATATTTCAAGATTTTTTCATGATAAAATATGACATAAGAGTCTGTAATGCTTTTATTCTTTGATACTGTCTAAATATTAGGTCTTTTAATTTATATTACCGTAGATAAAAAATGTATCCGGTAAATACCCATAAATAAGCATTTTTTGCTGATTGACGAAATAAACTGCTTGAGTTTATTTTATTTATTTTTATACATTTTTTTGATGTACAGGTATTACATTTTACTGGAAATACATGTACATTTGCTTAAACATGCTGACTTTATAGGGTCAAGAAAGCTGAAAGCTGTGGTTGAGTCAGAAGAAGTAAGGATTGCCATCAGCACTGCTTGCAGTGGTCCTCCCCCTCCTGTGAAGTCAATTAAAGATGGTAAATATTACATGCACAAAATGATATTCTCCCATGAGGAATGGTATTCATTGAATAAGAATAGAAGAACAGTTTTTTAATGTTTAAAATAAAAACAGAAAAATTCTGTGACAGGAATGAAAAAAAAATGGATAAGCTTTTTATCCAACTATTTTTGCATTTTTTATGGATGAAAATTATATCCAACCACAAACTGAGAGAGATTTTTTTTTTTGAATAGAGTTTTTATCAAATGCCACTTCAGTATGACAAAATTGTTAGTGATTTTATGTTCTTAAATTCAGAAATGGAGAACATCATCATTCAACCTTGGACCATGCAAGTAAAGAGGTGTATAATCTCTAACTTGGTTAGGCAGTACAGTAAGTAAAAAAAGATTCCTTTGTAGAGTTGTGTATATATATATATATGTGTAAGATATAAATAACTATAAACATTTTGTAAGAAATACTTTTGTATAACTAGAGGTAATGGACAATATTTTATATGAATGTTGTATGAATTTTATATTTATTTTATAATCTATTTTTATATCAGTTTTAATTTTTTGTTTTATTAACTTTAAAACTTCTATATAGTGGAATTGAAGTATGGTAGGAAGAGGGACATTTGGGGTTATCCTTCCCTTAAACCAGAGTGGTGGCCTGATGACATCGAGTACATTTCTCCAAATGAAAGACGGACTGTCGGTAAGATTAAGATTTATTACATCTAGCAGTTTATTTTTACTGGTGTGCATTTCATCACCTTTTTTAAATCATCACTAGTTGTGTACCAGTCCTATATATTTTTATGTTCTCCTTGTTGTATACATTTGTTTGCTCATCTCGAGGCAAATTTGTTAGAAACATGAATTCTTGTTGAAATCTCACATATTTTACTTGCATCACCTTTTCCTTGATTTTAGACAAACCATTGAGTAATATTAGCATGGATCAGATTCTTGATTCATATGTAGAGTGGAAGGTATTGGAATGATGAGTTTAAGAGTTTACATTTTTTGAAAGTATAGAATTTCTAGTTTGTAGTAATTTTGATTGCACGGTAATCAGTATTTTAGAAATCTTTATAGTGGGTGAGTGGGTGGGGGTGTTATCAGTAACGGAAAAATTGCATATTCAAAACAGATAATTGAGTCTTAATTAATCTCAATTTTAAAGATGTAAAGATATGTTTCTGTTAATGAAATGATTATCTTGCAATCTTTTGAAAATTAGTAATTCATTACAAGTAGTTTAGTTCATCAGATATGTGTAATTGAAAGCAATTTATTTGAAATTCTATATCATTTATTGGTAACTGCAATGCATATACATGTACAAGTTTACATATACAAGGATACTGCTACATTTGCACTGAAATTTCTATGTAAATGCCACATTTTAGACATGAAAGTACATGTTATACAATACAAGTGTTACAATTGGCAAAAAAAAAAGCAAGTCTCAACCAGGACTCATGCCCAGGGCCTCTGGCATACCAGCAAAGCACTCTAACCAACAAATTAATGGCACTCGATATATTGGCTGACTTTTTAACATCGGGAAAAAAATATGATTGTATTTGACAATATGAATTTTGCGACTTAAGATACTTTCACTTTATTATTACATGAGCTTTAGCCTTGTCAGTACTAATATGCATGTCCTGTTTTAAAAAATTTCATGTACCATATTTTATAGCACTATACTTTCTTGTAAATTACTTGATTTTGATAAATCAAGAAACATTGCTTATAAAAACACTTTTACCTTCTGAATGATGAAACCACGCCCTTCAGGGGGATAGCACTTAGCAGAAGTCAATATTGCTTGATGATGGGGCATATTAAAAAAATATTATGACTCCATGGAATCTGTGCATCTCCACTTCATTTTTATTTGTATCAAACAATAATATTAAAAAATTTTGCCCCCTCAAAAACCATGGTCATCTGAGGCAACAATGGTCTTCTTGGGTTTAAAAATTTTCATTGTTACCCTCAAGTAAATGCAGTATTTATATACTGGTCATAACTTCTGATTCCTGATTTTTAAAGAAATTTTTCAAAATATTTTTTATCCTTAATTATTCCCTCTGTATATATATATTTTTTTGGGAGGGGGATTACTTTGTCCTTCTGTCCATACTCCATATTCATGCAATATTAGGTTATTTTCTATCTTATTATATATATTACATACAAGTACCAATACCTATGTATGTCTGGCAAACATACTTTTGAAAATTCTATGCAATGCCCATATTTGATATGTCAGAATTACATTCTATGCTTTATTGATCTTGATTATATAAGGTTACAGAGCTCGCCTCAACAAATGTTTCATCATATTGGTGACCCCACATCCATAGGGGTATAAGTTACAATGGAAAAGTTCTAAAATTTCAAGGTTTTTTAATTTGCATGAAATATACTGTACTTAAATTATGTGTTATGCATATGAAGTTTTGAAATACAATGTTGAAATGCTTGAAGACAGAATGAAACAAAATGTTACTGAAATGGCATGCATTATGCTTCACATATAATTGCATGCAATATGTTCTTTGGATTGAAAATGTTGTTCATGCATGGTTATTTCATGCACACACACATTTATTAATTTTATGTATGTCAAATAAATGTGCCACAAATTGTGATATATTAAACATAATCAACCAACCAACTAAAAAAGGAAAAAATAAATTTTAAAAAAAAAACAAGATATCCAAATGTATTTGTATAATACATTATAATATTTTGACTGTCGATCTGTTGGATGATTCCAGAATTCTAATGGTAGCAGGAGAAAGGATTTTGAAGAAGGAAGTGGAGAGGTATTGGAGGAGGTAAGTGGCAATGAGGAAGTCATGCCAAGTGTTTCAGTTGAAACACCTGGTATGAATTCCTCTCTGCCTATTTCTCCAACACTGAGTGTTGGAGGTTTCTTTTCAGGTGGGACAGGGAGTATTGAGACTGAAATGGAGAGGACACACGAACCAGGCAACCAGCTAATATCAGAGGAGGTAAGTGGCAGTGAGGAAGTCATGCCAAGTGTTTCAAATGAAAAACCTGGTATGAATTCTTCTCTGCCTACCTCTCCAACATTGAGTGTTGGAGAGGGTTTCTTTTCAGGTGGGACAGAGAGCAAAGAAAATGAAGCATGTCAGATGGAGATGGAAGTGGAAGAGATGGGTCTGCCAGAGAGGACAGACATGGATGAAACAGCTATGCCAGATGGGAACATAAATGACATGGGCAGCACAGAAAATACCAATGTGCAAAGTCTGTTGAAAGTTGGCTGGGATGATGTTGTTCTAACTAAATGTAAGATAATAAGCTTAATGAATAGTTTTGTAATTATACATTGTATGATTAAAAATACCTGACAATTTTTATAAAGAAAAAATACAATGCACATAGGTTGTGTATATAATAATATACCGGTAACGGTATTTTCTCTCTCTCTCTTTCTTGAAAACCATTCTACTCTTGGAAAAAAAATTCTATGTATTTACAGTTCTATGTGCCATTTGAACAATGACTTTGCAACTTTTTTATAAACACTTTCAGATATCTACAAGATTTGGTCTAAACAGAGAAATGATAGTGTTGAGCCATTTCTGCTGTCTAAAACCTGTGGTGTGAGCATTAACAACAGGTCACTCATTAGTGCAAAAAGTTTGATCACAGATGAAGTAAGCAAACACGTATATTACCTTCTCATAACATCTGTGGTGTGTTTGAATAAGGGTTTTATCACTGTAAACAAATATAAAAGTGGTATTCTTTCCCACCATGAATAGATATCAAAAGTGTGACAAAACTCACGATTTTCCTTCCCTTCATGACAGTCCCTATACTTTTATACAACTGTAAGATAGCAAGACTAAATAAACCATGCTGACAGAAACAACTTTCAAGGATTCTCCAAATTGTTTTTAAACCCATGTTTACAATTTTTAATCTTACCACTGCTTAGCTGTGATGTATAAAAACTGCTCAGATATGATGTCATAGTCTATAAAAAGACAGAGGCAAAAAGAAATTTTTTAAAAATGTAATAAACAAAAAAATATAGTGTTTTGTAGTTGAATATTGATTTTTTTTTTCACTCATGGGACAGGACAGCTTCGCACGTGTGAAAATATCAACTATAAATACATGCAATAAGTAATTTGTAGAGGACATTCAATGTTTTGAAGTTGGAAATGGAATTAATTTCATAAGTGGAACATGATTTTTTTAAATATTTTTTTATACATGTATCACCATATAATAAAAAGATGACAAATTGTACAGCAGAAATTTAAATATTTTAATCGTAGTTTCAATTTACACTTCTTTTTCTTATCCATTGATCTCTAAATCAATTAAATATGAAATAATATCAAAAATCTTTGAATTTTTGTTTTGTTCCATTTTAATTACTTTTGTATTTGTTTTTTGTAGATAATTGATGCTTATCTTGGGATTATTTGTGGTGTAAGTAAACAATGACCTATTGATTTAAAATTTCTTATTTATAAGCCATAATGTATGAACTTATTAAAAATGTATTAAGAAAATGTATGTGTATATGACACAGATAGATTTGTTTCTAAAAATGGCAGTTACAACCTTAATTTATATAAGAATCCAAACTAATACTAAAAGAGTCTATGGTATGCACGCACATACTTTAAAATTTACTCCTCTCTTCTTCGCATATATAGCGTAGAGTATTCATCTGTTTATTTATTTATTTATTTATTTATTTATTTATTTATTTATTTATCTACTTTTTAGAAAAATTCATTTATTTATTATTTCTTTAAAGCTAAGCAACAACTTCTTTTATGTGCCATGCAGTGTTATATCCATGATTTTTCATCCTCGACATCAAAACGAAGTTTCAGATGTATGTTACTCCTTTACTTTTCATTTGTCTTATAGGTCATATATTATGCTTAAAAATATTAAGAAAATGCAAAAACTATTGTATTCATGAAAGCATAAATGAATTTCAGTTCCACATTATTATATTTAGATCTGTAATTGTTAGATTGTATAATAGTTCAAAATTAATGGCAAGTACACTTTTTTTTTTTTTCATTCAGGTCCTTAATGAGAACAAAGGAAAAGTGTTGCTGGCTATTGTAAATAGGAGAGAAATTCACTGGATTTTGTTGGTAAAATGATTCTTTCATATTAAGAAAGTAGTGAAGGAATTTAACTTTTTTCTGTTATATTAATGAATCTTCACTGATTCAAATGCCAAAAGTATGGATACATCACATTCCAGACAAAAGTTGTGAACAGCATTTATATGTCAGTTGTTGAAGGGTATGCTTCACCAATCCAGACAAATTGCTCTGGAACACAAGTATTTGAATTGATTTGACTGTGTTTGTATATGTACATTTATATACATGTATATATTTGTTTGTTACTTTCTAAGGTTATTGATCAACGGAACAAATCTCTGTTAATAATTGATCCAATGGGAGAGACCAAAACAACATGCCAGTTGATTTTTAAATTATGGATGTAAGTACAGTGTATAAGCATAAGACATTAATGAAATTGTAGATGTGAATAACAAAAAATGTAGAACTATGCTCTTTTTCAATGGAGATGAATGATGAAAAAAAAAACTAAAAATTAGGACAGAATCATCATGAAAAAAAATTCCATAGGCACTGAACTAGAAATCAAGATTTAAAAATGAAGATGGCTAGTATGAAATTGTTATAAAAATTCATTTCTTCTTTGTTTTAGCAATTACTTGACACAAAGAGGACATGATGCCGAAGGATGGAAAATCGATACTATCCACCACTCAAAGCAACAGGACAGTGTTTCTTGTGGAGTTTACTGCATGAAGGTAAAAACATTGTTAGTTAACAAGCCAAATGTCAGGCTAAAATGTTGGAATAGGTGGATTAATTATAGCAATTTTCATTGTACATGTAAAAATGAACATATTCAAGTTTTTTTTTTACTTCCAATTAAGCAATTACATGTATAGCCATGCTAGCAAGTGCATTTATACTGTATCTCTAAGAAAACTAAACCAGCTTTCAAAGAAATTGAACATTTTAAATGTTGTCTTCTGGGACAAAGAAATAAATTTGGTACACACATTGCAGCATCTATGTGAAAAGGAATCATAGATTGTAAATTCTTAGTCTCTGCACCCCCCACCCCACCCCCACCCCCCAAGCATGAGGGACTTGGTAAAAACAAAACAAATGCAATTTTCAATTTATTTTTTTTAAGGCATTGAAATCTAGTAAGCAAATTGTTTGTTGTTTACAATAAGCTATGAGCAATTAAGGACATACGCAACGTACCTTACCTACTGATAATTTTTCAAGATATTCTTAATTTAAGATTATAGTGCCATCAGATGTTTGTAGACAAAAAATCAGCATGCTTTACCAGGGGGTTTGAAAAGATAACAATTGATGAAAATTCTTGTATAACTCAAAGAAAAATATACAAAAATTACTAAACATATATTCTAGATGTTTTGTTTATCCAAACTTGTTTTAGAAGAAGTGTTCAATAGCATATATAGACATTAAAATGTAGCACGCAGTTCCTTTAAGTATTGGATCTCTTCAACTCCAGGGAAAAAGACAATAAAGTTCACACTACGTTGTGTATGTCCTTAACAATTTAGCCCCTTGGGTTCATAGTTCATCATATTTCATATGTTATAAATCAAACAAACTTAAACCAAAGTCCCATAAAATTTTGATACTCAGGAGGCCTTAAGGCCCCTGAGCCTTACATTCATTTTAAATTTTATGCATCAGATAAATTTGTTTTATTACTCAGTTTGCAGAGGGAATTGTTCTAAATACATCTTTACATCTCACAACTCAGAAGGACACTGTGCAGGAAATCAGGTGCAACATTATGAAGACCATCATAAATAATCAAGGTGCATTGCATTGTTTTATTCAGAAAAGTAAACTGAAAGGTTTAAAAATAATAATATCACAGAATCATCAACATAAAATGTTTTATGAATTTATTAGAAAATATGAGTTAAGCATATATGTTGCTGGTTAACACAGCATATGCCAGATTTTAAATGTACACAGGTTGATTAAGATTTGCACAATTTGTTAGGAAGATACTAGGTTCATTGGAGCTTTTTTCCCACATTCAAGGAGAATTTGCAATTTATATCCATATCCATGGCCATATACATGTATCTCTAGTTTAAATAATTGAAAGGATTGAGGATTTATATTTATGACAGTAAAAAGTGTTCATTTACTTGTCATTCACTTCACTGACAATGATGCAATGTTTAGTTCAAACTTAGAATATTTGTATTCAAATTTAGAATGATAAACCTTTTTTTTCTAAATTGTTAATTAACACTTATTGATTAAAAAAATTCTGATTTATTTTAAAAGTAACAAATTATTCTTAGAAAGAAAATTGCGTCATGCAAAAGGTTTATATTTTGTAGATGAGGACACTAAAAATTTCTGCAGACGTTGCTTCCGGCATGAACCCCCAAACAGCAAAGTTAAAAGAATCAAGTGGGTAAGTAAACCTTTTTATTTATATTACTTAAAACAAGTTATCAAATATTTCTTTGATTGGGAAAATAATATACTTCTACCATCAGAATTCAAATTGCATGTTTGCTAAAGTATGATGCCAAGTAGAAATCCATTTGTTTTGGAGAGATTTCCAAAACAGATTATTTTAATTCAAATGATGTACATATAACTTTAAAGCTTATTTCTGTGAACATTTTACTTTTAAGATATACTGCAAACATTTTGCTTAATTTACAGGTTCAATGTGATGGATGTGCCATTTCTTGGTATCACACTGTGTGTTTGAATTTAAAACAAGTCAGAGAATCAACTTTTGTTTTGTGTGATGTTTGCAAAATGTCTGAGTAGGTGTTGTAATTGTCAGTTAAAAATGTGTACATTGAGTCTGTCTGAAATTAAAGTATTTTGACCGGATCAGATTATGCAATCTGTTTTCATGTAAAATATCCTGTTTCAGAGAAGTCAGATTTTGTGTCTCACCAAACATAGATTTTTTTTTTCAACTTTCAGTCATAATTCCCTGTGTAAGAGGGAAGTCAGAAATGTAAATTGTGCTGCTCCACATGTACATTTTCTTTTTTTTGTCTTTTTTAGTTTTTGTAATCTGTGTAACTTTCAAGTTGATTGAGTGTAAAGTCAGATGCAGTAATGGGCCGCTCCATATGTACATTACTTTTTCTATATTTGCTTACATTTATATTCTCTTGTGTGAGTGTAAAATTGGAAGTGGTTTTGGATGGAAACCATTATATCTTAGAAGAGAAAAACAGAAACTTCAGTTGATGTATAAAATAATTAATGCTTCTGCACCTGATTACTTGTACAAATTGATTCAACCCTTTTTCCAATTCAACATGCCTACAACCTAAGGTCTGGATGTGATAACTTGTATTTGTGTATACCAGTTTGTAAAACAATGTCTTACTATAATAGTTTTATTCCCTCAACTATAAAACTTTGGAACAGTCTTAGTGCAGATGTCAAAAACTCCATCATTATCTATCTATAAAGCAAAGCTTAAAAGTTGGGGAGCAACTAATAAACCATGTAGGTACTTTAACTTTGGTAATAGAAAAGAGAATATCTTACATTGCCAGTTGCGAAACAATGCTAGCTATCTTGATGCACATTTAAAAAGTCATTTTTTTTTATCAGATGTTCAATCATGTCAAAAATGTGGATTTTATACTGAAGATACTGAACATAACCTTATCAAATGTCAATCATATACTGCTGAAAGAATTTACTGATAAAAAAATTAAATGATATTGATGTTGTTTTTGAACTCAACACTGTTAAGAGGAAAATGTCAATATTCCTATCAAACAAACTGTAAAATATTTTCATATGTACACAAATTTATTAAATCTACTAAGAGACTTAACTAATTACTCTGTAATATTAAATACTCTGTTAAATATTTAGTTCTTTTATAATATATATTTTAAACCTGGAACAGTATGTAAATAATTTTTATACAATTAAGGGGTCATCATCTTTTCTTTTCTTTTTTTTTATAATTCTAATGAACAATGCATGTACTTTATTGTGAATCTTTATTTTTTTTTTATTGGCATGTCTATTGTCATGTACAAGTATTATTATTTATTGTCTCTATCTTGACCTGTTATACAAGGAGAGGACGTGCAATATTATGCCTGTTGCCCAATCCTTAATGAATTGCTCAATAAAATATGTTCAAAGTAAAGTCAGATGCGGTAATGGGCCACTCCACATGTACATTACTTGTTTCTATGTTTATTTATACTCTTCTTTGTGACTTTCATGTTTAATCTCTTGTTTGAGTGTTAAGTCAGATGGTATTTGTATACCACATTTAATCGGTCAATTATATTCTCAGAAAATTCTTATGTGAGTGTTAAGTTAGATCCTGTTTCTTTTTGCCTTTCACATATAGACGGTATGATAGATGCCACAATGTCTCTTTGAATTGATTACGTTTTGGAATTGTTAAAATATATAAATAAAAAATGGTTTTTGAGAGTTGCAAAACAAGATTTGTTTTATTATTTGAAAGAAACATTTAGTTTGTTTTGACAAAGGTATAATAAAGCTTTTGTCAATAAGGGAAAGGAAACATAATCATGCAAAAGTTTTCATCAGGACCCTCCATGTTTCTGTGCTGAAAATACTGGTTAATTATCCATGAAGTCAGGTACTAAAAAAATCAGACCTCATTATCTCAAATTTCATGAGATATCGGTGTTCCAGATACATAAGTTCAACTAGACTTAGAACCTTAGACTTTGCCTTATATTTTCTGCATACAGGTAATGAAGTGCAGGTTCACACTTTGATTGGATAGAGCAAGACAATCATTGCTTTATGATACAATACTGTAATATAAATACTGTAGAATTTTCAAGAAGCTGAATTACAATGAGATTGTTGTTATCCTTGTAACATCAAACTTATTTGTCAGTAGCTTGCATCAGCTTAAAATCGATTGTACTTGGAGCATGCTCTTGTATATTGAATCAATTGGGAGGTATACACAGTGTATGCAGGTGATGTTTGAATATTACTACATAAATAAGGGAGGTTGATGATGGAAAAGTTGAATTCAAAATGTTTCATACAGTTCAATTGGTTGGTAATTTTTGTCTACAGTCAGTAAAACATCCACGAAACTCTGAAACGTCTTATATTTATAGTTCACCGTGACATATCAGGTCAACATATGGATGAAAGTAAATTATATCTTATATTTATAAATATATCTTGGTGAAGTTTGAGTTAACAGCATCTGCTTCTCGTGTAGAAGCTTCTGAATTTATTAATCATAGGAATATTTAAAAATAATAATAAAGGGCCACAAGAAATGTCCATTCGAAACAAATAGTGTGTAAGAAATAGAAGGGAAGGATAAGTAAATTTACCAGAATTATTTAACTTTCAACCGAATCAAGGGTATATATATGATGTTATTTATTTATTTTATTTTTTTTTTTGTTTCATTGATGGACGAAGGTAACAACTTAATAATTGACACTGGAAAAGGTGTTAAAATGTCCCTTTTTAAAGTAGTTTCTTGTTTCTTATCACGGTTCTGTTTTATGAAGACATTAACCCCCCTCACGATGAATTATTAAATTAAGTGGTGTATCATTTTAATTCACGATCATACTCGTATATTTGCCTACCTTCTCAATGGTCATTTGCAAAATTATTTTGTTATAATTTTAAAATTCTGCTTGTAGCCTTGTACACACAAGTACTCCTAGCTAGGGTGATATTAAAAGATTATCCATGTAGTTTTTCGAGATTGGCTTCTAGTAATCTTTCGGAATTCCCATGGGCACTAATTGCGCCTAGTTATTAACAGAAGTATTTTTTTTTTTTCATTCATATGATGCAGAATTGATTCAAAAACTTGTACATGAGAAGAAGAAAACACTCGCTGTGCCTTTAACTCTACATTTAGATATATTGAATTATTATCAATTAACAATAGTTTCTTCCATTGATATATATATATCCCAGTAAACTTGAAATAAAAGAAACTACAGAGTTTGACACATCTGTTTCGAATATGGATATCTTCATAGAAAAAGACGCTAAAGGGGCCTGGGTACAGTTCCATGATTTACAATTTAAATTTCTACTTAAAAAAAAAACAAACAAACAAAAACCAAAAAAAACCCCATACATTCAGGCTACTAAATTGATTCTTCTTTATATCGTCAAACATCAGCTGTGTTTGTAAACAGGGCACGAGCTCCCCATGTTATTGTTAATGTTTCTGTTTTATGGTGTGTTTAATTTAGTTACTCTGCAAAAATTTCTGAGCACGGACTGACGTTAATGGTGAGTTGATTTTGCTTTCTCGTCTTTTTACTCTTCATTTTCTGCAAGGATTATAGTTTTAACATTTTTATGAATACACATCAGAATTTGCATTTTTCTTAAGTATATATAAAGGATAAAGTTTACTTCGTGACAATGCCACGCTACTTGTCAATCAAATGCGTCCCGTAATTCGTAGTTTTAATAATATCCAGATAAAAGAAGTTTCTAAACACGCTTTTTTTTTTTACATTTCAGCAAGCGTGAATTGCACTAGTATACAGTTAAAGTATATCATTGAGGGAGTTAGCAAGATTCCAGTTCCCCAAGGCCAGGACTATTTCCCAAGGTGAAGCCGGGGGAAATAGTCCTGGTCGAGGGGAACTGGAATCTTGCTAACTCCCGCAATGATATACTTTTAACTGTTTTTTTATACCGATACAAACGTAAAATTTAGAGGATTCAGATAGCGTGATTCATAGCAGGGATTAGCTCACTGAACTAACACACGGGGATTAGTCCATTCACATATCATATCAATGTAAAAGTAAAATCTAGAGGATTACGGATAACCGGGGATTAGCTTTTGATGCAGGGATTAGCTCACTTGATTAACGCACGGGGATTAGTCCATTCATACTGATTTCTAGGGAATTACGGTAGTCACATCTAACGATCCAATGTTATATAGGGAAAAATTAGTAGATGTATAATAACAACGTATAAGTCATGATATTATACTGAAATTTTTAGAAAATATATACTACAAATCTGTGTCTGTGCCGCTTTAATTCTAATAACATAACAACAAAACTTTATGATAAACGTGGTAACTTCTACACTCTATCTTCAATTCCCTTATTTATTTTGGAGTATTATTCCCTTATCACTTGCATATGGAGTTTATGATTCCTAGTTGATTTGATATGCTAGAGCATGTTCTACGAACAATATCTAAAACGAGGGAAGCTATTGACAAAGAAGTTGGTGCAACAAGGATATCAACAATCTCGTTTAATGTCAACATTCGCAAGTTCTATGGTCGATACAATGACCTTGTCAACAAATCAAGTCGAATGTTGACTGACGTTTTTCATACTTATTGTTAGGACATTATTAACACACTCAGTTGTCTGGACAATTTTTTTCATTTGTCCGATCATGACGGGTGACCACGGTCGACAGGGGATGCTTACTCCTCCATGACATCTGACCTCACCTCTGATATTTCCAAAGACCATATTTGCTCTGCTCTCAATTTATATTGTTTTAATGGACTTTTGAGCTTGATTACGGTTCGTCATTTCCACATTTTATTAAAAGACTGTCAGACTCAAGCCAGTCCCATGTACTATTAACCTCGTCCGACGAAATACGTAAATAGTAGAGGACCGGACTGTTATGGAAGGTCTGAAAATTTATTCAGCCAAGAAAAATCATTTGTCCTGAGAGGTTCACATTTGAAGAATATGATTTACTTGGCCGAATTAATCTACAGATCTCCCCAATATACTTTTTTTTGATGACTATTTGCAAGATATCAAAATTTGCTATTTCTATTTTACTGCGGAAGGACATTTCGCACTCGGTACCAGTCATAAATGATAGAGTTTACGAACAGATACGAATGCTAAATTGCATAATTATTCGAATGCAACCGAAACAACTGTAGGAAAATTTGAAATCACAAAATTTTACCAAAGTCAACAACATACAAGCTTTATATACACCCATTCCCCACGATAAATGGCTTTTTGACATCATTGACAGCTGCTTTTTCAATAAAAATGGAACTCGTATATGTACATACCTTGTCATTGGTCATTTGCAAAATTATTTTGTTAAAAACATTCTGGTTGTACACAAGTACCCTGAAGTTGATATTAAAAAGAAGCTTAAGTTTCTGATTGACAATATCTATGTCGTTCTTGGAGACCAGGTCTTTCAACAATCTATTGGAATTCCCATGGGTACCAATTGCGCCCTGTTATTGGCAGACCTATTTTTGAATTCATATGAAGCAGAATTTGTTAAAAATCTTATACATGAAAAGAAAAAAAACATTTGCTGTGGACTTCAACTCGACATTGAGACATATCGAAGACGTATTGTCAATTAACAATTAATGGTCATTTCCTTTCTTATGTCGATACGATATATCCCGGTGAGCTTGAAATGAAGAATATACCACAGAGTCTGACACATCTGTTTCATATTTGGATATTTAACTAGAAAAAGAAGTTCACGGTAATCTAACAACATAGCTTTATGATAAATGTGATGACTTTAACTCGTCAACTCCCCTTACCTATGCAGCAATATACCTTTATCACTTGCTTACGGTGTTTATATCTTTCAATTGATTAGATACGCAAGCGCATGCTCTACGAATGATCAATCGATTTCTAAAACGAGGAAGGCTATTGACAAACAAGAATATCAGCAGTCTCGTTAGAGTCATCATTTCGTAAGTTCAATGACCTTATCAGCAAATACTATGATTAAGTCAAATGCTGACTGACGTTTTTCATACTTATTGTTAGGCCATTATTTACACACTGAATTGTCGACGGATTTTTCCGTTATTTCCCGATCATGACAAGGAGCACACTGCGGGTGTGACCGGACGGCAGGGGATGCTCACTCCCCCATGGCATCTGATCCCACCTCTGATGTTCTAGAGGTTCGTGTTTGCTCTGCTCCTAATTTGTATTGTTTAGTGGACTATTGAGCGTGATTACTGATCGTTATTTCCATATATTTCATTTCATAAATGATTGTATGGAAGTTCTCTATCTTTTTTAATTCCAATGTATATACGTAGAAAAATAAATTTGTGATCCACTGAAATGTCACGTTCAGGTTCTAATGTGTGAGAAAAATATGAAAAGGTGTAGTATATAAAAGAAAGATTCCCAAGAATTAAGAGGAAAATGTGGAAAAAGTAAATTGGTTGGATGTGTGTGGTGCTAGTGTTTTAGAGGTTAGATATGTATGGTTCTAGTATCATAAAGGCTGTATATATGTGGTGCTAGTGTCATAGAGGTGAGATATGTGTGGTGCTAGTGTTATAGTGGTTGAATATGTGTGGTGCTAGTGTCATAGAGGTGAGATATGTGTGGTGCTAGTGTTATAGAGGCTGTATATGTATGGTGCTAGTGTTATAGAGGTTGAATATATGTGGTGCTAGTGTCATAGAGGTGAGATTTGTGTGGTGCTAGTGTAATAGAGGTTGAATATGTATGGTGCTAGTGTAATAGAGGTGAGATATGTGTGGTGCTAGTGTAATAGAGGTTGAATATGTGTGGTGCTAGTGTCATAGAGGTGAGATATGTGTGGTGCTAGTGTTATAGAGGCTGTATATGTATGGTGCTAGTGTTATAAAGGCTGTATATGTGTGGTGCTAGTGTTATACAGGCTGTATATGTATGGTGCTAGTATTATAAAGGCTGTATATGTGTGGTGCTAGTATTATAAAGGCTGTACATGTGTGGTGCTAGTGTTATAAAGGCTGTATATGTGTGGTGCTAGTGTTATACAGGCTGTATATGTATGGTGCTAGTATTATAAAGGCTGTATATGTGTGGTGCTAGTATTATAAAGGCTGTACATGTGTGGTGCTAGTGTTATAAAGGCTGTATATATGTGGTGCTAGTGTTATAGAGGTGAGATATGTGTGGTGCTAGTGTCATTTAGGTGAGATATGTGTGGTGCTAGTGTTATAGAGGCTGTATATGTATGGTGCTAGTATTATAAAGGCTGTATATGTATGGTGCTAGTGTTATAAAGGCTGTATATGTATGGTGCTAGTGTTATAAAGGCTGTATATGTGTGGTGCTAGTGTTATAGAGGTTGAATATGTGTGGTGCTAGTGTCATAGAGGTGAGATATGTGTGGTGCTAGTGTAATAGAGGTTGAATATGTATGGTGCTAGTGTTATAAAGGCTGTATATGTGTGGTGCTAGTGTTATAGAGGCTGTATATGTATGGTGCTAGTGTTATAAAGGCTGTATATGTGTGGTGCTAGTGTTATACAGGCTGTATATGTATGGTGCTAGTGTTATAAAGGCTGTATATGTGTGGTGCTAGTGTTATAAAGGCTGTATATGTGTGGTGCTAGTGATATAAAGGCATGAAAAACAGTCATGTTACTAGTCTCACAAAATTGAAACTTAATTCTTTGGTGCTAGTGTTTTAAGGCTGTGTAGTGCTTGAGTTTGTATAGTGCTATCAAAACATATATTTAATAGTCTTTAAATACAGTCAAACCTTGTTATCTCGAACTTGAAGGGACCGAGAAAATACTTTGAGATAACCAATGATTCGAGATATCCAGGGTAAAATACTTAAGGAATAAGCAATTGGGACTTCAAAATTACTTTGACATATTCATGATATTTGAGACATCCATGTTCGAGATACTGAAGTTCAACAGTATTTGCAAATTGCTAATTTACATTTGGTGAGATCAACTCGAAACATATTTGGGCTTTATGATACTAGCATTAAACATATCTAGGCTATATAGGAAATCCATTTGGTGCTAGTGATGTACAGGTTATATAAACCTGGTGCTTCTGTTTTCTTTAATTCTTTATCTCATTTTTTAAAAAATTGATTTGAAATATGCACAAGAGATTGGAAGAATCAGGATAGTTTATTGAGTCTGTCAACAGTCTTTCTGTTAATCATAAAATGTCATGTATTCCATACAAACTAATAAAAAGTAATTCAATTTATTGACATCTCCTGTTGGCATACAGTCAAGATAGCAAATCAAATGGCAAAGAACAGTACCAAAACCAGAAGTCTCTGACGAGACTGTAGCTCTACTGGTTTGTACTTATAACGAAGGAAGATAAAAGTAGCACTTGGACTTGCAACAGCAATAAATAGAATAATGATTCTTGGTTTAGTCTCTTTTTGTGGCAAGATTTATTGCAATCAAACTAAAACTGTTGGAGGAGTAGCCTTTTGAAAGAATATTACAGAAATTTCGATTTCAGTAACCATGGCAACATCATTCAACAAAAAAAAAAAAAATAAATAAAGACAATTATGTATCTTAGGGTAGTCTACTTGTGTGCCAAGTTATACTGAAATCAGACCAAAACTGTAAGGAAGAGTAGGATTTTAAAAATATTTCACAGAAATTTATAATTTTAGTAACCAGGGCAACATCATTCATCGAAATCAAAAACCAATAAAAAGAATTATATATCTTAGTGCTACTTGTATGCCTAGTTATATTAAAATCAGATCAAAATTGTATGAAGAGTAGCATTTTGAAAATATTTCACAAAATTTCTAATTTTAGTAGCCATGGCAACACCATTTATCGAAATCAAAAACCCAAACCGATGTACAGAATTATGTATCTTAGTGTAGTCTACATGCTTGCTAAGTTATACTAAAATCAGACTAAAACTCTAAGAAGACTGACATTTTGTATGTATTACAGAGAAATTTCTATTTTTATTAACAATGGCAACACTGTTCATCGAAATTAAAAACCGATAAACAGAATTATGTATCTTAGTGTGATCTACTTATGTGCCAAGTTATACTGAAATAAGATAAAAACTATAGGAAGAGTAGCATTTTGAAAAATTGTTTACAGATGGACGGACACCTAGACAGACGGACGGACGACTGACATCTTACTATCGCATAAGCTCTTCTGGTCCCTGACCAGTAGAGCAAAAAAATTATGACAGAGTGGCTACAGCATACAAGACATTTTTACGCAATTCTTCATATCTGCATAAAACATCTATTTAAATATGTATAAAAAAGTTTTATAGCATTGTAATCATATAGGTTAACAATTTACTAAATGGATTAACCACCACAGTGTAATTTATAAGTGAAAATATCGAAATCGACATTGTTTATAAATGGAACATTTAAGTACAAAATGTTTTTTTGCTTTGCAAAAATGGTTTACAAGCACAGCATTTACATTTTTCCTTAGAGATTATTGGTTTACAATATTTACAATAAGATCAATATATACAGGCTTGTTTCAATAAATAGTGAAAGTGCACTTATTCTTAATTTTGTTAGCTGTGATCTTTCACACTTTCTTAAAGGGAATTAACTTCAATTAATCCAGCTATTTATATTCAGTACACTTTAAGATTTTACCATAGAAAAAATATATATCCCAGTTGTCCAATTACATCAAATATTGAGATTACAAACAAAAATTAAGCTCAAAATTCAATTGAGACAATATAAATTGGGAGCAGAAGAAACCTGGATCTCTAAAAACATCAGAGTAGGGACCTTGTTCCATGGAGGAGAAAGCATCTCCTGTTGAATGGTCACACCTGCCATATGCTCCTTGTCATGATTAGGAAAAAGGAAAAATCTGTAGACAAACAGTTTAAAAATAATGCCATTAATGTCTTCTGCTACAAATATATCCATTAATCAATGTTTAATTGTTGCAGACTCTGGCATTTGACCCAGCACATTTAACTATATTTTTTGTTGATTTGTTCATTGTTGTACCACAGGAATAATTTCAATGTATCAATAAAGTTCTCAGGTTTCATGTATGACAGGGAACTCTTTAATTTTCTGATTTTTGCATTATTCTGCTCTACAATTTGAGTATTTATCCCTCTCAATCTTGGGTAGCTGCGAGCTTCATATCCTGCTGCACATTCTGCAAATAAAAAAAGTAAATAAATAAAAACTGTCAACTTTTTTTAAAAAATTCAAATAAATAGTGTTTCTTTTTGCTTATTTTGAAATTATATTGTCCACAGCATTGGAAATATCATCTCACTTCTCACCACAAATATTTTTTTAAACAAATAATTTCATTTTTCATGATATATGAGACAATTTTTTTCTGTGCCAAATATTTATAACTGTATTGCTTTTTTCATAATCTCCATATTTATCATTTTATTTGCAATGTCAAGCTTAATTACAATGAAATAAATAAATGCACATACTTTTGTGATTTGGCCAATGCAGACTGTCAATGAGGAATCGCGTATCTTTGAAATATGCAGGATCCCGATTCAATGCATATTGAAATAGGTTGCATGCATTGTCATAAATGACAATTTCGGGGGGCTCTGAAAATAAATAAATCTACCAACTAATATATGAAAATTCAAATTTATTTATACCTTTGAAATGGTAACATTTAAATTTATATCAATTTGTTTCATTTAACATACTGTGAATTAAATCAGCACTGTCTTTGGCAGACCATTGTTCATGAATCAGTAAAGTTTGGGCTGCTCACAAACATACCTCCACAAATCAAAATGATTCCACAATCACAGTCATTTCATCACTTCTGCGAATGCCACTTAAATTTTATTCTTTTTATATTCTTAAATTCTTAATAGGGTAGGTATAACTTCAAATATCTTTGTTGCCCTTGGTTGCAATGCATTGATCTATAGACTTTCAAATTAAAATTATAAATAAAAGACTTGCGTTCAAATCTTGTCTTCAAGAAGGTAAATGGGACATTTGGAGACTCAGCTGTCACCATTACTTCAAAGCCATAGCATACACCTGTTTTAATAAAATATGTACATTAAAAAAGCTTTTAGAGCTATATGGATATTTATTCATATCAAAGTTTGCAATTAGTGTGCATGTAGAGCTATATGGATATTTATTCATATCAAAGTTTGCAATTAGTGTGCATGTACATGCCTGATGCATACATATAGTCAAACTTTGTTTTTTGAACATTGATATCTCATATCAAAGGATATGTAAAAGTTACATGTAAGTAGCATTTTGTAACCTCAACATTTTGAATCCTTATAAGCATTTAACTTTTTCTTGATATCAAGTTCAAGACAACAGGGTTTCACTAAATTAGTATTATTTTTTGGAATTATTTAAATCCAAACACATTCATGTAGGTCATACCATGAGGACAAAATACTGTAAAAATCCCAGGCAACAATGAGGGATGTCGTGCCCCAGTTTTTCTACATGATCCAAGTGGCTTTCTGCTGTCAGCTTCATATCTACCCCTCTTGCGGACAGCAAGCAGAGATGGATAGCAAGCCAATGGCGAAGACTCTTGATCTGAAACCTGTGATGACTGCACATTTCCAGTAAATGTAGCCTGAACACGTTTTTGAATAATATCCAAAATAGGAAAGAATACATTTGGCAGGTATCCAATATTGGTAAAAAGCTCAAACAAGATAGGAATGTTTTGCTGTAGCTGGTTCAATAAAGGTGATGGTAATTCAGAATTTGGTCTTAGTTTAAGAATTTCAGCAATTAAATGAATGTTGGAAAAATGGAATGTAGCACACAGTGGTGAGTCACAGGAGAGAAGAAGAAGAAAATCTTTGAATTCTGGATTGCAGTTGAATCTTTCATCTGTGAAATAACAAAAAATTAACAAATGTATATTAGCATAATAATCTTCATTCACATCAAATCCCCTTCAAAGACATAGGAGTAAATAGATTAAATTATAGAAGATTACATGAATTACATTTCAATATGTACATGTATTTAAAGCCCCATGGACATTAAAAATTACAAATTTACATTTGGTACTCTATATAAATATAAAAACAAGAAAGGCACATTGACATGATTTTGTACATAAACTAGAGAACCTTATGCCCTGTTCACCAGGAGAGTTTAATTCGCAGTAAATTAATGCAAAGTAAAATAATGCGAATTAAACTAATGCAAATTAAATTGCGTTCACACGACAGCTAATGCGAAGTACACTAATGCGAATTAAATTTTTATTTCTACAATAAGGCTATTCAGTATGGCTATTATGACAGTAAATTAATTCGAATTAAACTAATTCGCATTAAATTCCCCGTGTGAATGGGGTTCAAATTTAATGCGCAGTAACTTACGTTTAATTCGAATTAAACTCTCCGTGTTAACAGGGCATTAGATTGACATTAGATGACATTGTTGTTAAAGAGTGAAACTTAGAACACTTGACTTTCTCTAGTTATCATACAGTATGCAATTATTTCATGATTATGAGGGAAGCAGACAATTTATTGTTTTAAAAGGGAGTGGGGAGGAATTTCTAACCTAAACCAAAAGCAACAATTTCCCAGGATTTTTCCATTAGAACCTTAACATTAGTACGTACCCATGGTATAAAGTAACATCTTTTAAAACTAAACTGAAACAACTTATATAAGGTTTGAAATGAATCATATTTCCAATCGAGGCAGTGTTAAAGCAAAAACATGTTGGGGTAGTATCACAAATCAGATAAAAAATACACAAGTAAAAGTTTTAGTAAACAATGTTATCATAACCTAAACACTTGAATACGAAGCTTTAACCATGGTGACCATATATATGTAGTGAGACAAACTGATGCCTGGAATCCTTTCCATATATGTCTCTATATTCCAGGTGGAACATTTTGTACAGACTTGCAGGAAATTATTCTGTGTTTGGAATATAGTTTGATGAATATATGATATGCAAAACTTTTTTTTAAATTTGAAAATCATAAAATACTTCAAAATGCCTATTTATTACAACACACATAGATGCAGGGTTGTCCCTAAGAATTGAATTAGTAGGGGACATTTAAAAAGTAGAAGTGGATCTGGGGTTCCTGGGGAGTTTAGGAGGAATGCAAAAATAACCCTGGGATTATATTATTATAGGTGGGGAAAATTCCCAGGCCCCGGGTGTTAGGGACAACCCTGTAGATGTGGTAGGTAAGGTAATAATTAGTGAAATTTTTCCTGGAATCATGTTATACAAGAGGAAACATTAGTGAATGTAAACATATTTCAACAAAATAATAGTAATATTGTGCTTTACCTTCCCTTTCATGTATCTCTGCATCAGGAAGAAGAGGGAGGAGACAAGGTGACACATCAATAATCTTCTGCCTCAGAACCACCAGTTCTTCTCTTGATATGCCATCACTTTTGACAAAGGATCTTAGGTAAGACCTTGTTGTCTTGTCTGGGATTAGCATTCGGTCATTGTATCTAGTATAAGAAAAAAAGAAACAAATTGTTGTTAAACAACACATCAATTAAACAATTTTCATTCTTTTGTAAAACACATAGAAAAATGTCTTACAAATAGGAAAATAAGCTTAACTAGCCATAAGTATTACAACATTGTGATACTTATCTTAATATTTTGAAAACGGGCTCGTCACTGTTCATTTCAGATTCGAAAACAACTGGCAAAGATGCTCTTTGAAAGGCCAAAGATGTTCCATCAAAGAGCAGTATCGTTGGCTGCTTCCCACAAGATGGAGCCTTGCAAACGAATGCTAAAGAAAACAAATATTACAAGTATTATGTATTTGTACTATGATGGATTCATTAGGCAAATCATTTATAGATGATATCAGAATCTATTTTGCATAGCCCAATTTTTATTCTTTTCATCAAACAATAATCATATTTATATAGTTTATATATCTTCATATTACACATGTACCTGCATGGTAGTACAATAGTAGTCTTTCAATTGAAAGCAGTTTAAAATATGGTCAACATTGTTCAATACCTGCATTTCTATGATGTAAATAAAACCGACAATTAAAGCAAATTGTCAGAAATGAAAGTTCTAAAAAAGTTCTTTAATTCATACATTATTTATATGTATCTTTATAATTACCTCTGTTATAATCAATGTCTAGTAATCTCATGAAGCAATACCAACTCCATCGAAAATGGGAATACAAGAATGAAGTAGCAAAATTTTGATTTCCGGCATCTTCCTGATGACAAGACATTGTTTTGTAAAATGCTGAGAGAGTCGATCTGTATAATAAATTATACAAAATTAATAAAAAAAAAAACTATCAAGTAATTTATATAGCATTGCTTATATTTTATTTTAAAACAAATACGGCTCTAAATATATAATAACAAATAAACACAAACACAATCATGCATATAAGCATTCACATATATATATGTGTGTGTTGCAAGGAGTATAATTTAATTCAAGTACCCATTTTACCCTCTTCCCAAATTTGCATGAATTCTTCAATCATACCTTGAATGAAAAAACTGGAACATATAGTCTCTCAGCACTTCATAATGAATAAGAAACCTTCCCATGTTCAGCAAACAATTATCCTGCCCATCATATGGCAAAAGATTTCCACAAATTGAACAACATTGATGAAAGCCTGCATGTCAAGAAAAAAAAAAATTTAAGTAACATTAATTGTGTAATTAATGAAATAAATTTGCATAAATTTCATCATTAAACACTGTTTAACATTTATCGCAACATCCTAATAAATTATTGGACAAAAAAATCCAAAAACTAACATTGAGCTTCCCTGAATCCATATCTCGTCACAATCCATGACATCTCTTTCATGGCAACTAAATTTTCTTGATCAGATGAGGCACCACAATGTTGACAACAAGAGTTATCAGTTGGAATGACTTGTAGTACCCCATCTTCTTCAATAAAAATATCTGAGATGTTTTTACATATATTTTCCTTTTGTATTGTTGTCAAACTAAAAGGAATTGCAGAAGTAGAAAGTGTTTTTAATGAATAGGTGTTAGACGCCTCAGGTGTTTTTGCCATTGCTGCGAATAGTTCGAACATATCAGAATTATCGAAGAAGTCGGCATTTTTGAATATTTTTTCTAATTCCTGTAAGTGCTTGCATCTGTTCTGACAAGATAGGCATCTAAGTTTTCCATAGGAAAACCCGATGATGGCAAATGGAGGATGAAGATTGTCATTTCTGATGGCATAGGTTTTCTCCATTCCCCAGTCCAACTTCTGACAAAGTGTCTGACAAAAGATAACAATTTTAGTTTATCTTCAAAGGATAGATCTTTGAAGCAAGTTTTCTGTATATTTATAAATAAGTGTGCAATTGCAACAGTGAAAAAAAGTAGCATGAAAGGTGCTTAGAGATAATTATACTGCTAAATTATGTGTGCATACAATATATACGTAAAAATTAACTACGAATTACCTATGCAATCCTAAATGTTTGATGTAGAGACACATAAATAAATACAATGGATTAAAAATATTTATTACTATAGGCTTAAAACATACTTTTTCTTGGGGACAGGAATTTTCTTCACTGTAACGATGATCCTCTACAATCAGATACATTAAAATAACACATATTGATATACATGTATATACATATTTTAAACTAATTTCAAACATCAATTGCATGAATTATTCTGAGTAATAAATAACATTGATATAGTCTCCACTGTTTTTGATTGACTATTATTGTTTTACACCCAGTCTGCAATATTTCAGCCATATTTTGGCTTCATTGTCTTTGAACAAACAACAGGTGCCCAATGTTAAAAATGAACTGTGTACTGTAGGTAAACTCAATACTTATACCTTCATATAAATATTTCTCTCAAATTCCAAAAGCAAACTTCTTTATTGTTCAAAGCTTCCTTATATGCCTATCAAAGATGTGATTATGAATGAACCAACCTGAACCAGAAATCTCCTCAGAATCTTCTTCCACACCATAAAGATCCTTAAATTTTCTACAAAGCTCTTTAGCAGCCTCAACATGTATACATCCTGCATACAGTTCCTCTACATCTAAATATATATATATAAATATGATAATATACATTTATTGACTGGGTTAAAGGGCAATATGCATTTTGTTGGACCTAAGAATCAAACAGTTTGTTTGCCTGAGGCCATTAGGCTGCAAGTAAACAGTTTGGTTCGAGGAGTCAACAAAATGCATTTTGCCCAAGAAGACAGTCAATAAATGTTTTGTTATACCAATTGGGTGATGTAAGCAGTCGAATATCTCATTTGGCAGTCAAACATAAATTTTTTTTTGACTGCTCAGTAAAACTTTGGAAATGTTAGACTTTTTTAAGTATGCATTTACACAGGAACTAATTTTGAAAGGTATAACAATTTACAGTATACTGTGTGAAACTGAAATGATATCATAATTTCGAATATTTATTACCGGTAATCATTGATAGATAGATTATTTGTATATAAAAACATAGCATTTATTTAAACAATCACTCTGATTATAATTTATAATTTGTGAAAAACATTTTTTTCTGCATTTTTAAATACTTTTCTTTTAAATAAAAATATATAATTTGACATTAGAAATAACTGAGTTGGGCTCATACCTTCAGAGGTGCAGGATGAAACTTTGTTCATGAAAGTATGTCTGTCTAAATCACAAGAGCAGGCATATCCCAACTGTGGCATTTTTTGCACAATTATAGGTCTGACTTTCTAAAATTTGAATTTAAACAATCTTTAACTCGATAAAAAAAAAAAAATTCAATCTGCAGCAATCAATATAGAGAACAAAATGATTGTCTTTATTTTATGCAAAGATTAAATGATTCAAATTTCATAGAAAAGTTAGGAAATACAAAACTAGATTAACAAGTAGATCTGTTTAAAAGAAGTGAATGTAAAAAAATCAAAATTGGAATCTTTACACTTAGTGTTTTATCGGTGGAATCCCAGTCCATTAGGGCACACACTTCTAAATCCCTGTCCAAAAAAACACATCCCCTGCTTTGAAATATTGAAAATAAATACAGCTTGCAGTCGTCTGTATTTTCACCACCAATGTTCAAAAGCACATCACCACTCAGAGGCTCTTCACGATTTTCAGTATTTGCAGAAGACACAATACAGTCACTCAGACTTCCAACTTCAAAATGTTGCTGATCATTTGCAGCAGGTATGTCAGTAGAAGACATACCGGTAGTGCCCTAAGAATGTGAATAAAAATCACTTTTGAATAAAAAAACTCTTATCTCTTTTTATCCAATATTTTAATTAACAAGTTAACATTTCAAACACATGTACTGTAAAAAGAATTATCTCATGAAAGGAAAACCTTACAGCTTTTCTTGATTTTATTTTGGTTGAGCCAAGTTTTGAAGATTTAGAGTGGCGTCTCTTGACTGGAAGTTTTGAAAAGTCCAATCCACATTCTCCCTGCACTATAAATCTTTTTCTCCAGTTTTCCATTGTAGGTTGAACCCTCTGTTGAAAAGAAAGAATATGATAAAAAAGTACATATAAATACAGATAAATTTATTACTACACTATACCTCCAGGATTTCAAAAATAAAATCCATACCTTCTTTTTAACATCTTTAGAGTCCATTTTAGATTGAGTCTGTAATCTTCTGTGTGAACAGTATGTAAACTTGTGATCTGTTGATCTAAATAATATAAATCATGTACAAAAATGTAAAATCTATATAAGTTTATAGGTTTAAATGCATATAGATACTTGAAGAATTCATAAATAAATCAAGATAGAGTTTTAATTTTCTATAAATTGAATTCTACAAACATGTAGGGGTGCTTGTTTTATGATATAAAGAGTACTGAAGTTTTAAGATCATTGTAATACATGCAATTATAGTAAGCATAGAGCCTTTTTCAGAGGTGAACATGAAAATGAGGTGCAATTGTAAACAAAAAAGATGTCTTTGTGAAACACTGATGCCCCTGTATGACAGCTTTGGCGAAGGTTAAAGTTTCTCAAATGCAAGTCTAACCCAAAGGTCAAGGGATAAAAAATGTTGTAACCCCCCAAAAAAGGACTTGTTCTCAATGAATATACCTGTGAAATATGAAACTGCAAGCACTAAGTACATGTATTAAAAAGTTATGGCCAAGGTTAAAGTTTTTTAAACGTGGGACAAAATTAAACTCCAAGGTCAAAGGGACAAATTAAAGGTACCCAGAGAACGGTCTTATCATAAGAAATACATAATTATGTGATATATTAAAGTCCAAGCACCAACTGTTCAAAAGTTATGGCCAATGTTAAAGTTTTGCAAAAGTAGGTCAAACTCCAAGGTCAATGTCAAAAGGTCAAAAATGTTGGTATCCCAAGGAAGGCCTTGTCACATGGAATACACCCGTGAAATATGAAGGCCCTAGTACGTACTAACTGTTTAAAAGTTATGTCCAAGGTAAAGGTTTTTAAAAAGTGGGTCAAACTCAAAGATCAAGGTCAAAATGTCAAAAATATTTATATTCATGGAAAGGTCTTATCACAATAAATACATATGTGAAGTATGAAAGCTGTAGCACCCACTGTTCAAAAGTTAAGGTCAAGGTAAAAGTTGGGTAAATTCTCGCAAAATTTGGTCAAATTCCAATGTCAAGGTCAAGAGTTCAAATATGTTGGTACCGAAACAAAGGACTTGTCACAAGGAATACACATGTGAAATATGAAAGTCATAGCTCCAACCAATCAAAAATTATGGGCAATGTTAAAGTTTTTGCAGAAAACAGGTAAACCAAAAAAAACAGATAAACAAACAGATAAATAGACAGACAGATGGACAGGGCAAAAACCATATACCCCTGAATCTTCGATTAGGGGGCATTAAAAATTGTACCAGTAAGTATAATACTTCGTATTTTTAAAAAAATGGTTAAGTGTACAGATAAATAGGTCCTTTTTAATAAGTTTACAAGAAATTAGGTGCTTAAGGTCATTGGTTTACAATAAAGAAATATGTATGTTTTATAGTGAACAGGTAGTCCAGTAATGTATAGGTTCAAATATGCAAACATGGGTAAGGAGGTACTTTTAGTTCCATAGTTTTCCATTGCCAGGGTACTGGATAATACCTTGTTAGTAAATTTTATACCTGACGAGGCTTTGGTCACTACAAAACTATATAATGAATTTAACCCATTGATATTAACAATATATTCAGGTGTCTATGGTTAGTAAAATGTTTCTCCCCACTATATCTTTCATAATCCTGTATTTTGATTATACATTCTTTTGTAATTGGTTCATGTAGTAACAATATAAAGACAGTTTGGAAAAAAATTTAATCAAGGGAGAAAAAGGTTTCATTATGTGTGCTCAATACCGACGTTAGTCAACTTTTTACTTCCAGGGCATTCAATCCCCACGCTGAAGCAAACCTGGTTATTTATAATATTTCAGTTATAATATACTAAATGCTAAATGTTTTACCTTAATTAGTCACAAATCAGATTTTTCTGCTTGTGGAATGCAACTAATTCCGAGTGAAACCAACATGGCATAAATGTGCAAACTGCAGATACACGGGTCATCAATTCCTTCCTTTCTTATAAAATATAAAACTTAATTATACATATATCAGAAGTAAATTTGCACCATAAATATGCAAGTTGGGTTGGTAGACAATCTATCATTTTAGGTCTGATTGTGAAATGAGACGCTAGAAAAAAGGTGCTTGAAGAATTATGCTTCATGCTAGGGAATATTTACGGGGAAATTTCAGGGCATTCAGTCCCCACGCTGGAGAAACTTGGTCGAAAATTTATTACATTTCATTTATAATTAATATATATAATATACTAAATGCTAAATATCTTACCTTAGTTACAAATCAGTTTTTATCTGCTTGTGGTATGCAACTTCCCGGTGAAACCAACATCATGAATAAGGCATTAATGTGCAAACTGAGATACATGGGTCATCAATCCCTTCCTTTTTCATAAAAATGTAAATCTTAATTATATATGTCAGTAGTGAATTGTCAACATAAATATGGGTTGGTAGAAAACTGTACGCAAACAATATATCATTTTAGGTCTGATTGTGAAATGAGACACTAGAAAAAAGGTGCTTGAAGAATTATGCTTCATGCTGGAGAATATTTACGAGGAAATTTCAGGGCATTCAGTCCTATGAGGCGCCATTCTGGTATTTACTGCCAAAAAGTGATATCTTCTATTTGAATAGGTGATATCACCTATTCAATTGGTGATATCACCTATTCGAATAAGTGATATCACCTATTCAGCTTCTGAATAGGTGATATCACCTATTCAAATAGGTGATATCACCTTTTCGAATAAGTGATATCACCTATTCAAATAGGTGATATCACCTATTTGATTTGAATTGGTGATTTCACCTATTCAAATAGGTGATATTGCCCATTCAAATAGGTGATATCACCCATTCAAATAGGTGATATCACCTATTCAAATAGGTGACATCACTTAATCATTTTGAATAGGTGATTTCACTTAATCGAATAGGTGATATCACCTATTCAAATTATTTATGAAATAACAAAAGCTCCCAAGACTATAGTCTTTAATTCTCATTTTATGACTTTCACTTTTGTTTTATAACTTAGCGTTCTTGGAGACAATGGATTACAGCTTCGCATTTAGTTTTTAGCACCCCAGTAGAATTTGTAGTTTGTTTTGCTCACATATTACATTTATTACACTTATCTATCATGTATACTATAGGAAAAATCATGAAAAACACATAACAACTGTTCCATACAAAAAATACCTCACTTTACATTATAAAGAGAGAAAGGTATGTCACTCTGTTGTACCCCAGCTTGGTATTATTTATAAAATTTATATAACTTTACAGGGGTCGATAAAATAAGGTATTTAAAATGTCTCAGACTCAAATACAGGGGAAAACTGAGCAGCCCAAATTAGCTAGGTTCCAACGGAAATCTAGATAGTCTTGGGGAAGGGAGCATTCATTATTTACTGTAAGATATGCATATACGTGATATCACCTATTCGAATTGGTGACATCACCTATTCAAATTGAATAGGTGATATCACCTATTTGAATAGATGATATCACTTATTCGATTAGGTGATATCACCTATTCAGCACGAATAGGTGATATCACCTATTCGAATTGGTGATATCACCTATTCATTTCCAATAGGTGATATCACCTATTCGAATAAGTGATATCACCTATTCAAAAAAGTGATATCACCTATTCAATTTGAATAAGTGATATCACTTATTCAAATAGGTCATATCACCTATTCGTATAGGTGATATCACTTAATGGCAATAAATACCAAAATGGCGCCTCATACAGTCCCTATGCTGGAGCAACTTGGTCGAAAATTTATTACATTTCATTTATAATATACTAAATGCTAAATATCTTACCTTAGTTACAAATCAGTTTTTTTCTGATTGTGGTATGCAACTTCCCGGTGAAACCAACATCATGAATAGGGCATTAACGTGCAAACTGAGATACACGGGTAGATCATCAATCCCTAAAATCTTTTTCATAAAAATGTAAATCTTAATTATATATGTCAGTAGTGAATTGTCAACATAAATATGGGTTGGTAGAAAACTGTAAGCAAACAATTTATCATTTTAGGTCTGTTTGTGAAATGAGACGCTAGAAAAAAGGTGCTTGAAGAATTATGCTTCATGCTAGAGAATATTTACGAGGAAAGGAGTATTCTATTTAAGTATAGTAGTGTGGTCCCTTTTTACCGGTTAAATATTAGCGTACGGTTTTTTGTTTGTTTTCATTGTGTATAACGAAGTATTTCTAATTAAAACATTGTGTATTTATAATGAATAATTATACATATCAAAAAATACAAGCCTATTTTTAACACCTATCGCACTAAAAAATCCCGGAACATTTTCCCCCGATCAGACTACGGTTTCTCTATTACATGGAAATGGGCGGAGACATTTAGATTAGATACTATAAAAAGAAGAACTTGGAATTATATTTTTCGTTCAAAGACGAATTATATGTTCAAGATTCACAATCAACTACAAATACAATTTTCTATTTACAAAACTTTGGCAATAAAAGCTGTAACAAGATGAACCAAACAACTCCATGCTGATCGATATAAAACTGAGTACGTTTCAAGTGAGAACTAGCACGTTTACTGGGGGCATTTACCCGTAACGATACAAATCCACGTGGCTTGCTTTGATTCTAAACAGGTCATAAAGAGGTTAATCGCATGTAAATGAAGTCAACGAAGAGATTCAAAATCATAATACTTTTAATTAGAAAACATAGAGCACAAGGTTGTTCAACAAAGATATTTTCACTCAACCTTTACAGATATAATATACACATTATATTTCAAACTCGACTCTGAACAAACCTGTGCTCGGTGTTTACGAAAGCTTTGAAGTGTGTACCTGTCACTGATTTCTTTTGATATTCATGAAAATCAAAGGACCCTACCTTCAACGCGCAGCTTCGTATGCTGCCTATATCTATTGTTTGACATTCTTAGATGATGAATCACAAAATAAAGACATTAGTTAATAATAAAATTTAATTTTTAAAAATTCTAATAAATGTTCGAAATTTGACGAGTAACCGGGGACCACAGATAAGCCTTTTTGAGACTTGTTCTTTCAGGGCATTCAGTC